CGCGCGAGCCGCCTGGGCCTGGGCTGGACTCCGAAGGGGCCGGAGGGCGCGGGAGAGGGGAGGGCTCGTAGCTGCGGGGCCGGAGCTCCGCCAGCAGAGAGGGTGGGGGTCGGGAGGTGAACCTCGGGCAGGCCTGCCATCCGCCTTTGGTAATCCCCAGGCCCTGGTGGATGATACTGAGGATGTGTCCCTGGACTTTGGCAACGAAGAGGAGCTGGCCCTTCAGAAAGCCAAGATCAGGTATGCTGGGAGTTGGTCAAGCATCCCCCAAAGGTGCAAATTCATTTATGCACATCCACTCACCCTCTCATTCATTCATTCATTCACTCACTCATTCAGAATATATTGAACATCTAGTGTGTGCCAGGCATGGGGCTAGGTATACACCCAGGACAGGTCAGACAAGGTCCCTGCCCTGATGGAGGCTGAGGTCTGAGGGAGAGGACTGACAAACAGCAGGCAAACAAAGATGTTAATAAGATATTAGAGAGTATGAGGTGAGAGCAGGAAAATCAACAGGATGATGAAAGAGAAAGTAATTGGGGAAGGCCACTGGTCCAGTGCAGTCAGGGAGGACCTCCCTAAGGAGGTGACATTTAAACTAAGACCTGAATGATGAGAGGCAGCAGCCATGGGAGACTCTGGTGGAAGAGTGGTCCAAGGGAAGGAACAGCAGGTGCAAAGGCCCTGAGGTTGTATGTTGGAAGGTCAGAGAAAGGCCACTGTGTCTGCAGAGTGGTGGGAAGGTAGGAAACAGGGGTTGACGGGAGGCTGGAGAGGTGGCCAGAACTTGCATTTTTATTCTAATCTCTATTTTGGCTCCAGACAGACAGACATAGTATCTTGGGGCAAGTCAATTGCCTGCCTGAGACCTTCAGCATCCCATGAGGTGGCAGGACAAAGGTGTGAGGAATGACCACAGGCGTGGTTGCTGCTGACCCAGGCAGCTGCCACATCTGGAAACACCGTGGCTCAGCCACACTCAGTCACCTGCTGCCACCCTATCTTCTTCCAGCTGTCAGAGCCAGCAGGTGTGGGGGCCTGGTCCTGAAATGCCGTTCCTTTTAAATTCTCTGAGGCAAATCCAGTACATCCTAGATTAGAATATGACTGTACTCATTTCCTAGGGCTGCTACAACAAATTACTATAAACTTGGTGGCTTAAAACTACAGAAATGTATTCATACAGATCTGGGGGGTCGGAAGTCCAGGTTCACTGGGCTGCCACCAGGGTGCCACCAGGGCCGCACTCCCTGTGGAGGCTCTAGGGAAACTGTTCCTTGTCTTTTCCAGCTTCTAATGGCTGCTGGCTTCAGGCCTCTTCGTCTATCTGCAGGACCAGCACGGTGGGTCTTTGATCCTCTCTCTGCTCCATTCCCACATTGCCTTTTCTCTGTGTCAAATCTCCCTCTGCCTTCCTCTTACAGGGCTCCTTGGGATGGCATTTAGGGCCCACCTGGGTAATCCAGGCTCATCTCGCCATCTCAAGGCCCTTCACTTAATCACATCTGCAGAGTCCCTTTGGCCATATAAGAGAACAGTCACAGGTCCCAGGGATTAGGACCCAGATATTTGGGGAGCCATTATGCAGCATTCCATATGGCCGATGATGTCTTTAAGGAGAGACGCTGTAAGAGACCTGGAATCCCGGGGAAAGAATCTTACAGAACATCTCAACTCATTAGATGTTCAATCTTGATTGAGCACCTCCTGTATACCCAGCTCTGGGCTGGTGGCTGGGGAAACGCGGGATACAGAACACACCCCCTGCCAGTCTGGATCAGGGATAGCTGGCCTCCAACTGCTGACATTTGGGGCAGGGGATTCTTTGCTGTGGGTGCTTTTGCTGTATTGTAGGGTGTTCAGGAGCATCCCTACTCACCAGCTGCCAGTAGTACCCACCAATAATGTTGCCACACACTGCCAAGGGCCGCCTGGGTGAGGGATGTCAAACTTGCTCTTGGTTGAAAACTGTTGGTGCTGGGGTGTGGGGTATAGGCAGGCCCATGGCTGTGGTGACTCAGTATTTTAAGGGCTGTGATAGGCAAAAGCTCAGGCACTTTTCCTGGTCAGGGCAGACATGACAGCTAAGTGGAGGCTGAAGAATGAGGAGAGCTAGCTAAGCAGGGAAGGAGGGCTGGGTATGACATGCAGAGGCTTAGAGGGGACATCATGAGCCTAGGGAGTTGAGTGTGGTTCCCTGTGGCTAGGGAGCGGGGATGCTAGGGAGTCATCTCCTGAGCAGAAGCAGGAGCCAGACCCCAAAGGGCTCATGGGCAAAGTTCTAGAGCTGCGCTGTCCTCTAGTACTTTCTATGAGGATGGGAATGTGTTACGTCTATGCTGTCCAGTATGGTGGCCACCAGCTGCCTGTGGCTATTGAGCAGTTATATGTGGCTAGTGTAACTGTAGGACAGAAGAGTGGATTTTTTATTTTAATTAATTTAAATTTAAATGGCCATGTGTGGCCACTGTATTGGACATTGCAGTTCTAGAGTTCAGTGGCCACTGAAGGGCTTTGCGAAGGGCATGGACATGAGTAGAGCTGCAGGAAGAGATGGAGTGTAGGGACCAATGGCAACAGGGAGGAGAAGCTTGGACCAGGGCACTGGCAGGGGTGATGGAAGGAAGTGGGGGTGTTCAGAGGCACATAAGAAGAAGAACCTACCAGCCTTGCTGATGTTCGTGATGTGGCATGAGGACAGGGATAGTCAAACATGATGCCTAGGCTTCCAATGATCCAGGGGAAGAAGCCCTTTGGGGGTCAAAGATGTTGGGCCCACAGTGGTCCTCGATGGGCTGCGATGGAATGTTCTAATAACTGGGTTTGGTGGGCACCTGGGAAGAGAGGCTGGGAGCCCGGGGGATCATCTGGGCTGCATTCTGAGACCTGGGAGGCAGCAGCTCATGGACCCCTGTGTGTTGAGCAGCCACAAATCCCAGAATCCTCTGGTGTGCCTAATGCACATTTCTGGGCCCGGCCTTGGACCTACTCAAGCAGATTCACAGGGATGGACCTGGGAATGTGAATTTAAGATAGCTTCTCTAGTTGATTCTGATGCTCAAGAATATAAAGATGGCTCTCAAATCCTGAGACCCACCTGGGTAGCTGGATGGAAAGGGAGTTCTTAGCCGAGGTCTGTGGATGTGCTTGAGGGGGTCTAGGAATGCTTTGAAAACTATCATCTAAGTTTTATATGTGTCACTGTAGGAAAAGGACCCAAACTTGGGTTATCAAATGGGCCCATGATGCAAATAAGTAAAGAATCACTAGTTTAGGTGAGAATTGTTATTTGTAAATTCCTTGTTGAGATGGATTCCTGGTTGACTTTGAAGGGAGGTGACATTATGGAAGGGGGCCTATAGCAGGACTCTGGGATATTGGGGTCACTTCTTCCTTTGCCACTTGCTGGCTTTGTGATTCTGGAAAGGTCACCTTGCCTTGTTGAGCTTCCCTTAACCTGTCTGTAAAATGGGGGTGATCATACCAGCCTGACCTCACCACGTGGTTGCTGTGCCATTTGTTCAGT